AAATTTTGCAACGATTAGCTAGGTGATATGGTTAGCTGGCTTATTTAAGATCACCAAATCCACAGTCCTTCTGATTTCTTCACCATTATGCTTGACCTAAGACAGTGTTCTAGAACTTTAATAATGAAAGAGTCACCCCTTTCAAAGATACAGGATTACTTTCAAGAATATAAAAACAGAAATTCTACTAAAATTTATAAACTAGAACTATGGCTCTAGTGGGATCTGGGATGTCATGTTTGAGAAATACTATTTAAGGAAGGACTAACATTCGTTGGGTTACTCCAGTGGTCCACGTTCTTACACACTATATATAAACTCATTTAATCCTCACAATAATCTTTTTCCTTCAGATGAAAAATGAAATTTTGAGAGGTTAAATAACTTGCCTAAAGTCACACCATCACTAAGTGACAGAGGTAGGATTTAAACACAGGTGTGTCCCAGTCCACTTTCCATGTGCTTTCCATGCAGCTCCATGGTGCAGGTTGGGATCCCGGGGATCAGACTCTGAGATGAGATTAGCGTGAAGGAAGTTAACTGAGGAGTGCTTAGGGACCACACCTGTGAGGGAAGGCAAAGACACAGGACAAGGCAAAAGAGAAGGTGGGCTGTGATACACTCAGAACAAAGAACTCAGCAGGCCCATGAAGCCCTCTGAAGCTGGCATAGCCCTTCAGCGTTGTCCCGATTAGGGGCAAGGGGTCTGGACCTTTATTATCACCCTATCCACCATAGCAGGCATCACAGTAGATGGCTGCAGAATAAACAAATGCATTAGTGGTCAATCCAGAAGGAACTGTAAAAGGGAGGCAGCATCACAGAGGGGAGGGACCTCGATGGGTAAGGGCAGCCAGCCCTAGCTCTGGGCCAGGAGAGTCTTTCCTGCAGGGCTCTAGAATATTCAGTGCCCCCCTCAAAAGGAGAAGCCAGATCTCTAAGCCTAAACAAAGTGCTAAGATGAACACTCCAATTTCCTCTATGTAACCTGTCCTAGGAGCCCTCAGGGCAAGCTGGTACATTTTTAATGTTGTTGAGTTTAGGCATGACCCCACATTGAATCAACTTACAGTATTGAATTTATTTACTCTAGGATTCCAAGTTGTGACACACACCCAATGAAGAGTTCCTAAAAGTAAATAATTCAGGAGCTGTTCACTCATAGAGGCCGGTGGTGAGAAATTGCTAATCATAAAGACAGTCATCTTCAAAGGGCAGCCACCCAAGAGGGTGGGATGGAATAAAGGAACCGCATGTTTCCCAGTCCTCAACGTTCAGTCTCTGTGGGAAACAGGAAGAAGGAGAGCAGGGAGAATTAGATGTCAAGAGGGAAGAGGAAAAGATGAGACAACTTAAGGGAAATAGGACTGATTTATCGAATATATGTTATCTCACTTAATCCTTATTACAACCCTATGAACTACTTTTTTTTTTTTTTTTTTCGGTATGAGGGCCTCTCACTGTTGTGCCCTCTCCCATTGCGGAGCCTGGGCTCCAGACGTGCGGGCTCAGCGGCCATGGCTCACGGGCCTAGCTGCTCCGCGGCATGTGGGATCTTCCCGGACCGGGGCATGAACCCGTGTCCCCTGCATTGGCAGGCAGACTGTCAACCACTGCGCCACCAGGGAAGCCCTGAACTACTCTTTTTTTAAAAAAAATTTTATTGGAGTATACTTGATTTACAATGTTCTGTTAGTTTCTGCTGTACAGCAAAGTGAATCAGTTATACATATAACCACTCTTTTTAGTATTATTTTCCCATATAGGTCATTACAGAGTACTGAGCAGAGTTCCCTGTGCTATACAGTAGATCCTTATTAGTTATCTAATTTTTTTTAAAGTCTTTACTGAATTTGTTACAATACTGCTTCTGTTTTATGTTTTGGTTTGTTGGCCGCGAGGCATGTGGGATCTTAGCTCCTCGACCAGGGATTGAGCCTGCACCCCCTGCATTGGAAGGTGAAGTCCCAACCACTGGACCTCCAGGGAAGTCCCTAGTTATCTATTTTATGTATAGTAGTGTGTATATGTCAATCCCAATCTCCCAATTCATCCCTCTCCCAATTTCCCCCCGGTAACCATAAGTTTGTTTCCTATATCTGTGACTCTATTTCTGTTTTGTAAATAAGTTCATCTGTACCATTTTTTTAGATTCCACATATAAGTGATATCATAAGATACTTGTCTTTCTCTTGTCTGACTTCACTTAGTATGATAATCTCTAGGTCCCTCCATGTTGCTGCAAATGGCATTATTTCATTCATTTTTATGGCTGAGTAATATTCCATTGTGTATATGTTCCACATCTTCTTTATCCATTCCTCTGTTGATGGACACTTAGGTTGCTTCCATGTCTTGTCTATTGTAAACAGTGCTGCCATGAACACTGGGGTGCATGTATACTTTCGGATTATGGTTTTCTCTGGGTATATGCCCAGGAGTGGGATTGCTGGATCATATGGTAGTTCTATTTTTAGTTTTGTAAGGAACCTCCATACTGTTCTCCATAGTGGTTGTACCAGCTTACATTCCCACCAGCAGTGTATGAGGGTTCCCTTTTCTCCACACGCTCTCCAGCAATTATTGTTTGTAGATTTTGTGATGATGGCCATTCTGACTGGTGTGAGGTGGTACCTCACTGTAGTTTTGATTTGCATTTCTCCGATAATTAGTGATGTTTAGCATCTTTTCATGTGCTTTTTGGCCATCTGTATGTCTTCTTCTTTCTTTCTTTTTGTTTTGGCCATGCTGTTTGGCTTGTGGGATCTTAGTTCCCCACCCAGGGATAGAACCCAGGCCTTGGCAGTGAAAGCTCCAAGTGCTAACCACTGGACCATCAAGGAACTCCCTGTATGTCTTCTTTGAAGAAATGGCTACTTAGATCATCTGCCTGTTTTTTGATTGGGTTGTTCATTTTTTTTTTGATATAGAGCTGCATGAACTAATTATATTTTGGAGATTAATCCCTTGTCGGTTGCTTTGTTTGCAAATATTTTCTCCCATTCTCTGGTTTGTCTTTTCATTTTATTTGTGGTTTCTTTTGCTGTGCAGAAGCTTTTAAATTTAATTAGGTCCCATTTGTTTATTTTTGTTTTTATTTTCATTACTCTAGGCAGTGGATCAAAAAAGATATTGCTGTGATTTATGTCAGAGTGTTCTACCTATGCTTTCTTCTAAGAGTTTTATAGTGTCCGACCTTACATTTAGGTCTTTGAACTACTCTTATTACAAGCTTTTCAGAGGAGGAAATTGAGATTCAAAAGGACTAACTGCGATCTCATGGGTGTGGGAAGAAACAGGAAGAGAAGGAGAAAGGAGTGAAGGGAGGAGAGAAGAGAAGAGACTGGAGTTGGGCAGGTTGATCAGAAAAGGGGGACAATTTTTGAAATGTTGCCAAAACATACTCATGCTGCCAGAACACCATGTTTCCTCCCTCTGCACCCAAACTGGGAAACCAAGAGGGAAATAAGTCCCTGAACCCCCAGACCTCATTCTACCTTCTCCTTCTCCCTTCTCATACCTGCAGATCCTGCCTGAGGCACCCAAAGACATCTGATGGCTTGTCTTTCCAGAGGTTTTAAACACGTGATCACAGAAATCATTTTTGGCTTCAATTCTAATAGAATTTTCTTTTTAAATTTCTTTTTAAAATTTTTATTTATTTATTTTTGACTGCGTTGGGCCTTTGTTGCTATGCGCAGGCTTTCTCTAGTTGCAGCGAGCAGGGGCTACTCTTTGTTGCGGTGGCGCACAGGCTTAGTTGCTCCACAGCATGTGGGATCTTCCTGAAACAGGGCTCGAACCCATGTCCCCTGCATTGGCATGCAGATTCTTAACCACTGTGCCACCAGGGAAGCCCCTACTAATAGAATTTTCAACAATAAAATGAACACTCTTTGTACTACAGGAACTTTCAAATATGTTATTTCCTTTACTCTTCACAATAACTGTGCCAAAATAAAGAATTATTATTTCTATTTTTGTAGAGGATGAATCTGAAGCTCTGAGAGCTTGAGTAACTGGTCCAAGATCACACAGCTTGTGTCAGAACTGGTATTGTAAGCCAGGTTGGAGCCTACACACTTTTCACTTGACCGTCTTGCCTCAAAATTACTGAGGTCCATGAACCCCACATATATTGCCCTGGTCTTGCTTTTGATTGATCCAAACATTCAGGGTCCATCAGGGGCTGCAAATTTTGCATCGATCAGTTACCAGTACTGGGCATTTTATCTTTATTTAGGTAGTTCAAATTTTTTTTTTTTTTTTTTTGGTGACTGTTGGTATCCAGATAGCATACAGGCCTCCATCAAATAAATTAAACTTCCCATCTGTACTGAGTCATTTGGCAAGAAGTGGTTCACAGTCAGTGCAAATAGAGGAAGAATGCAGGGAAAGGGGTGGGGTGGGGTCGGGGAAGACGTTTGTAATGTATGGAGCTGTGAGTACCAGCACCGCATCTTTGCCTCCCCACAAATAACCAGCACCCCCATGTCAGTATTCACCCAAGAAGCCATTCAGTCTCTACTTTGGGTCTGTAGTCCCTTAGCGACCCCACAGCCAGCACCCACCGCCCCGTGCCTTTGGCAATCATCCTTGGCCTGGGACTGGCTCTATCCTGTGTGGATGCCTGTGGACGCTGCCAATAGCCCCTCAAAGGATGGGAGCCCTGAGGTTCTGCCCTTCTGCAAGGTGGCTGGGAGGGACTAGGTGCTCCCAGGTCCTGGCAGTGCACTGCGAGATGGGTGTGAGCATTGAGTGAGGGCTGACAAGCCAGAGCCGGAGAGAAGAGGACCATTCTGGAAGCACACCCAACAAACAGATGGCACTGTCCTCTCAGAACCGAACGAGGAGGCAGGAACCCCCCACCCCCACCCTGCCGCAAACAGTCACACTGTGACCACTGCTATCAGGCAACCAAGGAGGTGGGTGAAAGAGGGGTGGAAAGATGTTATTTCTTGGGGCATATGGAAGAACTGGAGTCAAGCAAATGCCAGGGACAATGTCAAAATGGCTTTAATCCTCAACCCTGGGTGGTGAAAAGAAAAAAAATATGTATATATAATTTCTTTTAGCGCTGAGTTTGAGATCCCCTCTGCCATTTACCATTGTGGGACCTGGCACAAGGCACATAAACTAAAGGCGGGTTATAATTCCTCTGGACAAGGCTGCCAGGGAGGATTCAAGGGCTGGCACACACGGGGCGCAGGAAAAGTTAGTTCCCTTCTCTCTCACCCCCTCGGAAGGATTAGGAAGGATGCTTTGCTTTCTTCCCAGGTCGAGACCTCGAGGAAGAGCAGGGCTTGAGACTGCTTTCGGAATTCTCTAAGGGGAGGGCCCTGGGCGTGGCGGGCCGCAGCTGCCTCGAGGGCCCGCTACAAAGAGGCATTGTTCCCGGCCTGCCGGCTGGGCGGCGCTGGCTCCGCCGCGGGCCGGGGAGTGGGCAGGTTTGCTCCCGCCGAGGAGCAAGCACGGGGGCCAACCTCCAACAATAGTTTTGTTAAAAATCAGGAATGCAGCAAAGCGCCAGAGGCCGTTTATTTTCCCTTGGGGTGGGCCGGAGAGAAAGCTGCTCCCTTTCCTGGGCGGGATCGAGTCTTGTCCCGCCGGTGGTGTGGCCGCACCAAGTTCCGAGGTCCCCGGGGAGGCGGCATGGTGACATCCAGGCCCCTTCCTCTCGGCAACTGCGCTCTTTTCCCAGCCCCACTCAGCCTGTTTTCTTCGGCGCCTGAAAAAGATGTTACGGCTCACAGGCCCGAAACCGGGATAAACAACCTCACCCCACTGTAGTACCGGGAGATGGAAAATACACACACACACACACACACACACACACACACACACACACACCTCGTTCCCTTCTACACGGACACCCGGCGCCTCCTTTGACAGCATGGAGGAGGGCGGCTGGGTCGCCACCCGGTTCCCTGGGGGCTTGTCCGCTGCCTCCGGGGCTCCCTTCCCGAGGCCAGGGCTCGAAAGAGGAGGGAACGGGGATTTGAGAGAATCTTTCTTCCCTGTGATCGCTGTCGGCTGTGCCCGCCTGCGGGTCTGGGGTCCTGCCCCCGCCGCTCCCGACACCCACCCGTTCCCTGCATCTCTGGTGACACTCGGCACTGCGGGGAGGATGAGGTCAAAGAAGTAGGCCGAGTCCAGATGGGAGAGCCAGGCTCCTTCCCGCTGGCCGGATCGTGTCCTTCCTCCCCTTCCAAGGACCGGTAGCCTTTGAGCGTCAGAGGGAAGGAAGCCTTAGACTCTTCCCAGAAAGTTGCGCTCTCATCGACCCAATTCTGCGTTACCCTCTGGGCCTCCCTTGGACCCGCTGGAGACCCGGGTGGGACCCGATCCCAGCTCGGGAAGGCGGTTGGGGCGTCGGAGGCCAGCCCTCGGCTCCGGGATCCGAGCCCCGCTCGCCCCGCTCGCCCCCTCTGGATCCTACCTGTGCGCGGCGCTCGCACAGCACTGGTGACCCGCCTGGGAAGGGCTGGGCTGTGCTAGCCACGCGGAGCGTCATTTATTCATGTACACCGAGAAAGGGAGACTGGGGTCCACACCTGTGAGTTCGCCTGCGGGTGCGTCTCCTCGCTGCTGGCAAGCCCAGTGGGAGGCCGGAGCCGGCGAAGTTGCTGGAAAACGGTGAACTCAGAGCTGGAGAGTTAGATGAATCAAAGGTATGGGGACATTAGACTCGGACAGTCTGTTAACCCATCTCAACGTGACCAGACACTTCCGTGAGCCCCATAAGGCTCGCCCTTACCTAGATCCGTGTCCCCTTCCTCCTCTCTTTTGTGATGCGCCCCATCTGAGGTGTGTTAATACACGCACTCAGGTTACGGTTTAGTCGGGCTGTTTTTTGCACATTTATCTCTGCACTCTTCCTCTGTGGGCTGACTTCACAGGTTTACCGGCAGAGGGCAACCTTATTCTAAGTTCTCGAGGGCTCCTGGGCACGTCTCCTCTCTCCACCCAACCGCTGAGGTGGGACTTATGTCTTCCCTGTTTACAGCCATGACGTTCCCTTTCCTCATCGCGGTCCTCCAGAAGATCCAGCAGTGCTGGCTTCCCCCTCACTTGCAGTAAGGCTCAGGGGAGAGGGTTCCTGCACGTGTCCTCTCTAGCACAGCCAGTGTGAGCTGACTCTGTCCTGGTGACTCTCCTTTTATTCCCCCTCCTGAGAGCTGTTCACATTTTAAGGAGCCACAAGGCCCCCACCTGAAGGAAAGCAGGCCCAGGGAGGCAGGGCGTTGGTGTGTGTGCATGGGCGCATGCAGGGAGACAGAGAAAGAGAGAGCAGGACGGCTGAGCAGCCTCTGCAAGAGGGTTAGGGAAGGCTTTCCCTGCTTTCTGAAATCCCTTCATTTTCTAGTTCATCTAGCTTGTGGGAGCCCCTGCTCTGTGCCAGGCACTGGGTTGCACACTGTCTTCCTTAGGGGATGAGCTCTGGGCTTGGAGCTGTAAGATCCAGATGGATTCTGGCTCTCTCCCTGTGAATTTCCTTTTAGAGAAGCACATCTTGTTCATAGCATTTCCTATAAGTAATCAAACACTTGTGCAGTCATTTTATCCATTCAAGGCGTATTTCTATGTGCCAGTATAGGACCCCTGGCCGAGCTTGTAGTCAGACAATAAGCAATACATATAATAACTAGAGCATGTCTGTTGGAAGGGGGCCGATTGTATAGGGCTTTGCAGACATTTTATGGGCTCTAATGTGAATGATACGGGGACCCATTCGTGGGTTTTGCCCAACAGGTGGATACTTACTCTTCACAAGGATCACACTTGGCTGTGAATAGGAGGTAACAACAAAATGATGGCCATGGTGATGATCCGGCCATGGTGATGATCCGGGCCATGGTGAGGTTCTCGCGGGGCAGGGGTGGAAAGAGGTGCTCAGATTCTGGATGTAGTTTTCAAAGTAGTAGAAAAAAGATTCCTGCCCTCCTGTGAGGTGTGAAGGAAATCGAAGATGACTCCAAGCAGTTGGAAGGATAGAGCTGCTGCTGACTGAGACTGGAAGACTGTGGAGGAAAGGAGGAGTAGAGCTGTATTTTGGACATATTCAGGGTGAGGTATCTATTAGAAAAGCCAGTGGAGAGGTTGGCTAGGCAGACACTCGTGTCTCGGGAGGGCTGGGCTGGAGATGGAAATGTGGGGTTGTCGGGATACATATAGGCGGTGCTGAAAACCCTAAGGCTGGAGAGATCAGCGAGAGGATGAGTGAGACACAGGAGTCCAAGCCCTGAGCTCGAGGCGCCATCGTGCACATCACAGCTCCCATGATCCTCTCTGGCTCATGGCTCAGGCACAGGGCCTGTTCAGAGAGCATCTGGTAAATGGACAAACCAACCTCTCTGACTCTTACTTGCATCACACGTAAAATGAAAATAAACGTGGTACTAACCTCAGAAGGTTGTCTTCAGGAAAAGTTAAATGAGGTCACGAAAGTGAAAATGCCTTACAAGTAGCAGGCACTCAGTATATCTTAAAAATGTAGGTTCGAGGGCTTCCCTGGTGGTGCAGTGGTTGAGAGTCCGCCTGCCGATGCAGGCGACACGGGTTCGTGCCCCGGTCCGGGAAGATCCCACATGCCGCGGAGCTGCTGGGCCCGTGAGCCATGGCCGCTGAGCCTGCGCGTCCGGAGCCTGTGCTCCGCAACGGGAGAGGCCACAACAGTGAGAGGCCCACATACCTCAAAAAAAAAAAAAAAAAGTAGGTTCGATGATCTCATCTTCTTCTCTCTTGTTTGTAACTCAGGTTTATATGAACTTTACAGCTTATATTTCTTGATGGTATTGTCACAATAAATTCCTGATGCGTGCAGGCCAAACATTGTTATTCGCATTTTATGGGTGAGGAACGTGGGCTTTGGGAGGTAAAATAACTTCCTGAAGGCTCACCTCTGATAGTAATTCCACTGGCTAATGTATCTGCGTATGTCTGTGTCAGGCACTGGGTTACTGATTTTGCTTGCATCTTGCAAGGACACTCTTGAGGTGGGTATTATTATCTCCGTTTGCAAATAAGGAAACTGAAGCATGGAGAGGATGGCTCACTTAGCCAAGGCCACGTGGTGAGTGCCCGGGTCATGAGCGAACCTCCCAATCCTGCCTTGAATGGTCTGTTCGTCTTCCTCATCTACATCCTGCACTCCTGCCAGGGCCGGGCCTTGCCATAGGCAGCGAGAGCAGCTGCCTCCTGGCTTTGAAGTTAGAAAAATTCTCTCTCCTCACACTTCTCTCCTACCAAGGCTGCTGCAGGATGCGAAAGTTCATTCACTCCTTGGGAACTTTCTAGAGCAAGCTGAGTCAAAGCATTTTGGTTCATTGCTCCCTCTCTCTGGAATGTCCTTTCCCCTCTTCTTTATATGGTGGATGACTCCTGTACATTCTTCCGAATTCTGGTCAACTCCAGTTTGTTTTTCCAAATCCAGTTCGTGTGGCACTTCCACTGTGAAACCTTCCCTGCTTGCACCAGACAGAGTTAGTCACTACTTAATTCCCACGACACTTCGGTCATACCTCTCTCACAACAACGGACAGTTTCCTATGTGTTTGACTGATGCCACTGTAAGACTGTGATTTCCTCCAGGAAATCTTTTTTTTTTTCGTGTCTTTGTATCCGATGTGGTGTTTGCTTCGTAAACACATAAATGAATGAGTGACCCCTCAATAATCACTATCAAAGCGATTTTATGGATCTCAAATACTGTTTCAGAGATGAGGAAATAGACTCACAGAAGTGACTGCGCAAAGCCATGCAGCTAATTAAATATTGGATCTGGAGCGCCAGAGAGGCGATGAGGTCGTGCCTTATGAAATCTCTTGACAACCGTTGAAGCCCAAAGACTCCACGCTACCTTTGCCTTCTCTTTGCGCTGCCATCCAGCGTCCTTGAACTCTCCCCCAAATGATCCTGCAGGTGGCAACAGAGGCCAAGGAAAAGTGCAGCTCCCGTCCTGAGCCCCTGTCCGGCCGTGTATGTAAGGAAGGCAAAGCTTTCTGAGGGTGGGGCAAGTGACTTGAAGGAATCCAAGCAAGAGAGAGAGTCTTATGTCTGCATCAAGTATAACTCAGAAAGAAATTGCTTAGACACTTGCAGTGTTAGCACTAGTTGTAACATGGATATGAAGAAAGGGAAAAAACAACGAAAATAAAAGGACATCCAGTAAAAAAAGTGAAACCTTACGTTTGGTTGGAAAAGCCACACGATCTGTCCCAAGTCACAAAAAGTGGGGAGGGGAGGGTCAGTTTCAGGGCCACTGCCCTGCGTCGTCTGCAAAGCAGGTTTCTGCCTGGTAGAGGAACCAGGTGTAGGTCCAAGTACATTTGCTCCGACCCAGAGGCTGTTTGGTCATGGGCTGATGGCGACCTGGATCGTCAGAGCTTCTGGCTTGTGGGACTGTGTCCCCATCTCTGCCCTAATAAACATTTACCAACCGCTCATTAAAAAGCAGAGGAGGGCTTCCCTGGTGGCGCAGTGGTTGAGAGTCCGCCTGCCGATGCAGGGGACATGGGTTCGTGCCCTGGTCCGGGAAGATCCCACATGCCGCGCAGCGGCTGGGCCCGTGAGCCATGGCCGCTGAGCCTGCGCGTCTGGAGCCTGTGCTCCGCAACGGGAGAGGCCTCAACAGTGAGAGGCCTGCGTACCGCAAAACAAACAAACAAACAAACAAAAGCAGAGGAAAGGTCATCCAGTTTGCCAAGGACAGGAAACTCTTGAGTCCTACAAGTACCCATGTGGAAGAGTGGGCAACAGGGAGATGGAACAAGGGGACATTTACCCTGTGATCAAAATAGTTGGGTAGAGACAGCATGGAAGAGGCCTGGCTGGAGCAGTGGTGTGTGTGGGGAAGAATAGGGCTGGGCCCTTTGTGATAACAACTCCTGTTTGTGCAGCACTTCCATGATCTTTTTACTCCTCTCCACAGGCTAGGAGGTGGTAATGGGGAAACCGAGGCTGGGAGCATCTCGTCTAATTACCCACGTGTGGTGGAGCTATAGCGTGAACTGCATTTCTGTGACTCTTGGGTTATTCTCTGCTTTGGCCCCATGTCTCTAACCAGGCTGCATGTTCTGCTCCTTCTTTTTTCAGAACATCGTTCATCTCCAATCCAGCCATCTGCCGTATTATAGGAGCTGTTATCTGTCTCTTTCTGGGGCTGTACAACTTCTGCATTTGGTCTTATCCTCTCTTTCTTCCCATTAATTTGACATATGCTATAGGAGTAGGGTCGTCAGATATAGCAAAAACCAAAAACGAGATGTTCAGTTAAATTGGAAATTTAGAAAAAATGAATAATTTTTATTGTATGGACATATTAAAATGTTTCCATTTATCTAGGGGACTTCCCTGGCCATCCAGTGGCTAAGACTCCGCGCTTCCGACGCAGGGGGTGCAGATTCAATCCCTGGTTGGGGAACTAAGATCCCACATGCCATGTGGCATGCCCCTCCCCCAAAAAAGTTTCTGTTTATCTAAAACTCAGATTTAACTGAGCACCTGTATTTTATCTGGCAACTCTACATGCAAGTGACAGTTCTGAACAACCATTTACGTCATTCTGAAGATGTCCAATTTCCCTGTTAGCTATAGGGCTGAGGCCATAAGCGTCTGTGGAGTGTGGGCAGGGGACATAAATGTATGAATTGAGTGATGGGTAATAGGAACGGGGCCTGGAACTAAACGGAAAATCGAAGAGCCATGGCTCACGGGCCCAGCCGCTCCGCGGCATGTGGGATCTTCCCGGACCGGGGCACGAACCCGCGTCCCCTGCATCGGCAGGCGGACTCTCAACCACTGCGCCACCAGGGAAGCCCGTATTAAGTATTTTAAATAAAATATTAAAGCAAAAAGCAAGCAAG